AGGGAAAGAAAATCTAATGTTTAGAAGCTAATCTAGTACAATATTACTCAAAACAGTAAAGGAAAACGGCTCAGGTGCTCTCCACAGACAAAACTTGCCCTAAAAATGACAAAAAATTCTATTTATACTAAGCTAAAAATATCTAACAAAAATGCTCCTGCGGAGGTTGTGCGGCCGCATAGTTATGTGTGCGGTCCGCACAACGAGACTTGGCTTGACAGGTTCCAGTTCTGCGGCCACACTCTTGCTTCTGCGGCCGCACAATTATAGTGTGGTCCGCGCTCTTTGATCTTAAGCTCTGGTTGTGTGAGACTTCTGCGGACCGCATAAAAATGAGTGCGGTCGCGCTCTTGATTATGCGGCTGCACAAAAATGGTGCGGTCCGCATTTCTTTTTGAACTTGAAATTCCATCTCTCTGATCTTTGACTTTTGCAGGCCGCATAATATTGAGTGTGGCCGCACTTATCATTTTGCGGCTGCATAATTATGGTGTGGTCTGCATTCCTTCAACTTGCCCAAAACCAACTATCTGAATCTCCTCTTATACGGCCGCACAATATTTGTGCGGTCCGCATACTCTGAAGAAAAACTGACATGGCTTTTTCTTTATTTTGCGGCCGCACACAGTATTGTGCGGTCCGCACTTTGGGCCTTTTGCCTTGTTTTGGTCCTAATCCACTTTTGACTTCTGTATGAGTTGATTTTGACTTCTTTGGCCCGTTTTCCAATGTTCTTGTACGAAAGCACATTTTATTAGTTTTCGAGAATACCTTTAAGCATTTTTTTAGTTAAAACGCAAGTAAAAGAGAGCAAATAAACGATCAAAATCCCTACTTATCATATCCCATCGATCCACAAATTTTGATGTCAATTGAAGGTCGCCAATCGAATTCAGGAAAATATCATGTATATATAAACACACTAAAAAATAAAAATAATCAATGATTTCATGACCTCGGAATGCCAATAGATGATATTATTTACGGTGAGTATTGCTCACAAGACGTATCCCATGGACCCACCAATTTTTAGGCCAATCGAAGTTCGTTAACTAAATTGAGAAAAACCATCATGCATATAAGAACACACAAAAATTAAAATAATTATTAATTCCTTTTTCATGGCCGCGAAATGCTAAAAATTACGCTAGTCATAGTGAGTATCACTCACAAGACCGTATCCCATGGATTCACCAACTATTAGGCCAAGAAGAACCTGTCAACCAAATTCAGAAAAGTTATCATGTATATAAACACATAAAAAAATAAAAATATTTATTAGTTCCTATTTCATGACTAACGAAATACTAAAAAGTTAAGTTAATCATGATTAGTATTGCTTACAAGGTTGTTTCCATGGATCCACTCATTTTTAGGCCGAGTCTGTCAATCAAATTTAGGAAAATTATCATACATATAAACACGCTAAATAATAAAAACAATCATTCATTCCTCTTTCATTATCCAAAAATGCCAAAAAATGATGTTAGTTATGGCAAAGTAATAAGTATTAGTCACTAGGCTGATTTCGATAGATCCACCAAATTTCAAGCTAATTAGAGACGAGTTCTGAACCACTTATACGCTCTTCCCCTTCGTTACCTTACAAGGCTACTTTTGACGACAAAAGTCACCATGTCCGCGTGTAATTTAGACAATATATATTTAGGATATATAAATCAACAAATTCAAGTATGAAAAAAAAAACATTTTCAACAAGCTTTGAATTACCGTACTTACAATTTCCTCCCTCCTCAGCCGTCCGAATAAAATGCGATATGAATGTACATGTAGTTAAATTTTTTTCTTAACCATCTAATATTCAAAAGTTGTTAATGTGACTAAGTTGAATCCAGCTTTACACGTTTTAAATGTACACACAGCATTAATCAATCAGTACACTGAACTATACGAACTAGTTTGCATAAACATAGCTAAAATTTTAATTTTATAAGTTTTGAGTTTTAGAATAATGATTTTAAATATTAATTTTAAATTTAATATTTATATATATTTAATAAATTTTTTAATACAAATACACTATGTGACCGAACCCGTAGCTCGACTTTTGCCGCCTTCACTGCTAGTGGGGGTGATTATCGGGCGGACAATTATGCTTAACGGTTCGCCTTAACAGTTATCGGATTATAAATGTAGTAATCTGCTAGCCATCCAATAAGACAACGGGCGAATTGATATCAGATTAACAATTATCGGGCGGCTTATCGGCTAAGCCAAATAGAAATTTTTTGAACAATCATTCAATCAATACTAAACAATTTCAAATCAATACCAAATTTTTAATACCATCTAAGATCTAACCAAACAGTATTTTTTAAATGAAGAGTCTTCAAGACTGCTTATACTGTCATACATGTATTAATCAAATTTTTAATACCATCAAGTCTACTCATACATACATACACGTATTAATCATTGAGATTTCGATTTTTCGACTTTTCCGTTCTCAGTTCAAGAGAGAGACGAGACTGACGACTTCTTCGCCTCTGGTGGATGCAAACAATTGAGAATTAGAAAATAGAAATTAGGGATTTAGCCATTTATGGTTTCAATAGTACTTTATATACATAAGAGTAAAAGTATAAATATAAAAATTCTTAATGGGTTAACGGTTTACCCGATAAGAAAATTGAATAATCCGTCCCCAAACCGTTAAGACGTTAATTATAAAATCTCAATTCGTTCACCATCCATTACTTCAATAATACGATATCAATAAGTAATCGGTTCAATTCTGTTAACGGTTTCGATTCGATTTTGAACCGCCCTAAATGCTAGTTTGTACGGGACTGGATCTCAACCCCGTCGGTGGACGCATCACTTGCTTCACTGTCTTGTACACCTGGCTACATAATACCATCACATTCCAGCTGGATTTGTTGGGTCCCACCTTTTTAACTGGGTCCCACATTTACCATAAGGGAAGTCATTCCATCACCATGCTTTTTATTTCATGTGATCAATTAAGCAAATTGCCCTCGTATTTTCTGATATTGCGAATTCGCCCTCCATCTCCCTTTTTTTTTTTAATTAACTTAAAAAAATTTGTTTCATAAGATAGAGATAAGATCTGCATCACATTATTTTAGGTATATTATTGTTGTCGTAGATTACATTCTCGTTGTTAAATAATTTTCCTGTTATATAAGATGATTGGGAAAGGATAAGGGTAGCGGAAATAAAATTTACACTCATCGTGTGAAAGTTTTTTCACTGATATTAACAAATTATAATAATATTCCTTGGGGTACGACTTTTTCTTGAACACTACGTGAATGTAAGATGTTTTGCACCGAATTACTCTTTTTATTGAACAATAAGTCTTTGTAGAGATTACAAATTCAAATTCAATCAAATGTGTACTTTCGTGGAACTTATATATGAATTTTTTTTCTTATTAGTATGTAGTTATGTACTGTTAGATAATGTTAATTTTTAATTTAATTTTTGGTAAAGAGCCAAATATATTCATTTACTTTCGAAAATGATCAAAAAAATGCTCCTCGTTATAATATTGGGTCATCGATACCCCTCCCATCATACTTTGGAATAAATATACCCTTATTTTGGATGGAGTGCCACGTGGCAGCACCATATGAAAACGACCTATTTCTTTTTTCTACCCGATTTGTTTTAAAAAATCCACCACCCGACTCGTTTTAAAATTCAATTTTTTTAGTTTTTTTAAAGCATATATTTTGTAAAAACTGGATTTTTTTTTGTAAAAACTGAAAAACAAAATTGCAAAATATATATTTTTAAGTTTTTCAGTTTTTTTAAAGTATGTTTTTTGTAAAAATCGAAAAAAAAATATTTTTTGTAAAAACTGAAAAATATATATTTTGTAAAAACTGAAAGAAAATTTTTTTTTGCAAAATATATATTTTTAAGTTTTTTCAGTTTTTTTAAAGTATTTTTTTTGTAAAAACTGAAAAAAAAATATTTTTTGTAAAAACTGAAAAATATATATTTTGTAAAAACTGAAAGAAAATTTTTTTTTGCAAAATATATATTTTTAAGTTTTTTCAGTTTTTTTAAAGTATTTTTTTTGTAAAAACTGAAAAAAAAATATTTTTTGTAAAAACTGGAGAGGAAAAAAAAAGAAATTTGCAAAATATATATTTTTCAGTTTTTTCAGTTTTTTAAAGTATTTATTTTGTAAAAACTGAAGAAACAAAAAGATTTTGAAAAATATTTTCTTTTTTTAAAAACTAATGCATATGTAGTCCACTACTTTATGAGAGTTTTTTTTTTCTAGTTTTTACAAAAAAAATATTTTTTTTTTCAGTTTTTGCCAAAAGAATACTTTAAAAAAATTGAAAAAACTTCAAAATATATATTTTGCAAATTCTTTTTTTCTAGCTTTTACAAAAAAAAATCCAATTTATACAAAATTTATGTTTTAAAAAAACTGAAAAACTGAATTCTAAAACGGGTCGGGTGGTGGGTTTTTAAAAACGGAACGGGTAAAAAAAATGTGTCATTTTCATATGGTGCTGCCACGTGGCATTCCATCTAAAATAAGAGTATATTTGTTCCAAAGTATGGCATGGGGTATAGATGACCTAATAATATAACAAGGGGTATTCTTAGATCATTTTTAAAAGTACAGTGATATATTTGGCTCTTTGCCGTTTAATTTTCTTACACCCATAAATCATAATGGATTAGTATGATTAATCTAGATTCACGATAGTGTTAAGGGTCATTTCAGATGAATCATTTCCTACCAAGAATTTTTTTAGTACTTGCATTAATGGGTACCATTAATAATTTTTTTATTTCTAAAATTCGAATCCAAGATCACTACCGATTAAAATTGGTGTAGTCCCACGAGTGAAGTCCGGAGAAAGTAAAATCCACGTATATCTTACTCCCACGTTACCGTTAAAATTGATTCAAATCTAAAATAAAAAAAAGCTTAAATCTACCAAAATCAAACCAATAAGAAAAAACAAAAATCAGACAGTAATACCCCACTTCAATGCCAAACTCTGTAAATTAAAAACTTCATCTTTTCCTCTGTCCTCAACTCCTCACTTCACACTTCAGATCTACTTTACCTCAAACTCCATCTTCCTTTATTATACAAACCACTCCTCTTCACACACACACACACACAGTATTCTCTCTCTTTCTTTTCTTTAACAATAATGCAGCTCCGGTCAGCCGCCGCCGTGGTTGCGGTGGTTCTTTCGGTAGCTCTTTTGCTTTTACCTAATGCAACTGAAGCTCACAACATCACAAAGATTCTAGCAAAATACCCACAATTCTCAACTTTCAACCATTACTTAACCGAAACCCATCTCGCCGCCGAGATTAACAACCGTGAAACCATCACCGTCTGCGCCGTCGATAACGCCGGCATGGCGGAGCTACTCTCGAAACACCTCTCAATCTACACCATAAAAAACGTTATTTCACTTCACGTCCTTTTAGATTACTTCGGTGCTAAGAAACTCCACCAAATAACCAACGGTACTGCTTTAGCCGCCACTATGTTTCAAGCCACCGGTTCAGCTCCCGGTTCGACCGGGTTCGTCAATATAACTGATCTCAAAGGCGGTAAAGTCGGGTTCGGCCCGGCTGAAAACCACGGTAATCTTCCGGCGACATTCGTCAAAGCCGTTGAAGAAATACCGTATAATATATCCGTTATTCAGATCAGTACAATGTTGCCGTCGGCTGCAGCGGAAGCTCCAACACCGGAACCGAGTCAAATGAATATTACTTCATTAATGTCGGCTCATGGCTGTAAAGTATTTGCTGAAACTTTATTGTCTTCACCAGCTGAGAAGACATTTGACGACAATGTTGACGGCGGATTAACGGTATTTTGCCCTGGAGATGACGCGATGAAGAATTTTGCTCCGAAATTTAAGAAACTGACGGCGGAAGGGAAGCAGTCTTTGCTTGAGTATCACGGAGTGCCGGTTTATCAATCTATGGACAGCTTGAAATCCAACAATGGCGTGATGAACACGTTAGCTACTGACGGATCTAAGAAATACGATTTCGTTGTGCAAAATGACGGTAACGTTGTGACTTTGAAGACGAAGATTGTGACGGCGAAGATTACCGGAACTCTCATTGATGAACAGCCGTTGGCTATTTTTACTATTAATAAGGTTTTGATGCCGAAAGAATTATTTAAGACTGCACCTGCTGATACCCCGGCGCCGGCACCGGCACCGGAAGCTGATGCACCGTCGCCTAAAGGATCTAAGAAGAAGAAACATAAGGCGTCGCCGGCGGCTGATACTCCGGCGGATTCACCGGCGGATGGTCCTAGTGACGACGTTGCGGATTCGACGGCGGATGATAACGGCGCGTTTAGTTACAGTGTCGTTGGACCGGTGGTTGCAGGCGTTTTGAGCATGTGGTTTTTCTTTGTATTGTTGTAAGCTTTATTTTTGTTAGTTTTTTTTTGTTTTATATCTTTTTTGAAGATTAAAGGGGCTATTACTGTTAAATAAGTAATTAAGTATTGCAAATTTGGCCGTAATTTGTTCTTTGTATTAGGTTTAGGATTGGCTAGTAGGTTTTGTGACTTGTGAGTGTCTTTATTTTTTTCCTTTTCTTTTAAAACTTTCTTTTTATTGTTTGCTTATTTTGGTTTTTGTTATTTTTTAGTATTATATTTGTTTATTAATTTATGAGTGGGTTTTTTGATATTGAGTTGTGAGTTGTGATCCATTAATTATGTCAGACTCGTTACATGTTTCAGCTGCCATTTTTGCCGTCCATTTTAAATTTTCCATTTTTTAGTCTAATGATTTGGTATGTGAATTTACTCGTTTGATTAATTGGGTGATTTGCAAGAATGGTGGAAGTATGTGATCTTGATTTTTGGACCCTTTTTGCCTACTTTTCACCTTAAAAGTTTACCTACGAAGCAAGTGGGGGTTAAACAATTGACACTATTCATTTTCTAGGTTATTTTAGGTAATTTCTTGTGATTATTTTTAGAGCCAAATTGGCCAATTATGAAGTAAAAAGCTTCCTATTGAGAAGTTTTTTATCACAGGACTAAAACGCTAAACATTCCTATCTGATTAAAGAATAGTGAAGAGATCTCAATCATTGCTCATTAATTTGATTAATTTAAATTTGTGTCTAGTAGATACACTATGAAGTAAAGTGCTGCCTATTGAGCATAAGTCTTATATTATTTGGACTCAAACTCGAAATATCTTATTAAGAATAAAAAAAATAATAACTTTACACATTATTCATGTGGTGTATTACACTTTGTTCCATTAATCCAAAAGGTGAAAAAATTGTGTTCTATTTTTGGCTATGTGGTGGAAAACTGGAGTGGTAGATATAGCTTAGGCACCGTTGCCTGTGACTGTGACAATTGACAAATTTCAGTGGTCCAATTTTGAAAATTATGGTGATTCCTCACTGCCCTTTGAATGAGACAACCAGTACTTGGTTTTTATGTTCGCCTTAAAATAGCTTTATCTATCTCACCAGTTTCGGTCGATAGAATCGCGGCTTATTTAATCGCCAATGAGACATTAAGAAATAACTTATTTTTATCCAATAAAGGAGCCATTAACTTTCTCCGTGATATAGTTTGATCTTATGTGATTTAATTTGAATTGATATGGAGTTTTAATAAAAAATATTACTTGAACAATTTGGGTGCGTGATGTCCACCCATTTTAAGCTGGAACTTCGTTAATGAGAAGGGCAAATATGCTGGAGCTTCGTTTATGACAAGGGCAAATACCAAATGATTTGTTAAATGTAAATGTATGAATGGAGCAAGACGAAAGGCATTGAGCAATTCCAAATAGTGCATGGGCATATTTGGGGAGCTAGTTAGTTTTCGAACTGATAATTAAAAAATAATCATTATTTTACTGAAACACGAAAAGCTCCAGCATAATATGCTGGATTATGAAGCTTCTGCGTATAAACATCCAACATATCATGTTGGGACTCCAGCACATGAAAAGTTCCAGCATAATATGCGAGATTATGAAGTTCTTGCATATAAACTTCAAACATATTATGATGGAACTCCAGTACATTATAAAATTCCAGCCTATTATGGTGGAAGCTCGTATGTAAAAAATTTGAACTTCAGCAATATTTTCGGATTTTTAAGAGTATACTAAATTTCGATTATTTTTAAAACTGTGACTATTTTTTAATTATCAGTTGTAAATATGGTTATTTCTCATTCCCCCCCCCCCCCATATTTGCACCTTTTCGGGCTTTTCCCTTTGTAATATTATGTAACTGAGAACAAGAGCAAGTTATGCCTTATTCCACAACGTACAACGGTACAAGTCCCAAATCTAGTGTGACTTATCATGTTTCACTTATCATGTTTCTCTTATCAAGTCCCAAATCTAGCTTTGTCTTTCACTTATCATGTTTCACCATTTATAAAAAGGCCCAAACAACAACAACGGGATCTGGGGAGGGTAGTGTGTACGCAAACCTTATCCCTACCCTGGGACAGAGAGGCTGTTTCCGATAGACCCTCGGCTCCCTCCCTCCAAGAACTCCTCACCTTGCTCTTGGGGTGACTCGAACTCACAACCTTTTGGTTGAAAGTGGAGGGTGCTCACCACTAGAGCAACCCACTTTTGTCTAAGTAGCAACAAGTTATAACAACAACAAAATACTAAGAAACTGAGGCGAAAGATAATAGGAAAACAACATGGACTACTAGCAATCTGAGACAAGACAAACTATCTACAAGACTAACCCTAAAACTTATCGGTACAGAACAGAAATACGCTTGACTACCTACTAACCTTCTACCTTAATTCTCAACCTCCACACCTTCCTATCAAGGACCATGTCCTCGGTAAGTTGAAGCCGCGCATAAAAAGGACTAAAGATTCTCTATATTTTCACTGGCATAAAAATCTATGAAAGGACTATAAGACTACTAGAAAATATAGGACTTAAAGTAGATATTAGCATGGCCAACGTATTTCAAACTAATTGGTGTCGTCCATATAGATCTTTTCTTCCGTGCAACGTGTAGATAATATGACACAAAGATAAGTTGGAAATTACAGATTATTACTGCATATAGGAAATCAAAACAATTGCTATAAAAAAAATATTAACTTATGAATAAGATCAAAATAGTTACAGAAGAATTCAAGTACCAATATATCCTTCCTTCAGAGATGAATTGCAGAGCTTTCCTGGTCCAGACCATCCTTGTTGAAATACAGGAAACTCGTACTACCATCAAAAAATGATGTTATCGGCACAGGAGTAAACCCAGGGTAACCACTTTCTGCCTTTGCCAAGCATAAATCTTTGGTGTACTTGAAAATGCCATGTTTCTGAACAAAAGGTTGAGCTGCATACTCTTCAAACGGCATCCACTACAAGACAGTAGTACCATGTTAAGAAAGTATCGGTGTTTTTAAAAGCAAAAAGCGTACAAAAAAAACGACAAGGTCCACGGGATTTGATGCGAAAAGCACGAATTGAAGTGCACACTTCTTTGAAATGAAGCTCAAAATTTATGGAAAAACAAAAAAATACCAAACAATTTTAGGACTATAATAATTAAACTACAGTTAGAATAACTAATTTCAGTATTCACTACTACAATATGCTGATATTAGTCCAACTCCTCAAAGTTGAGAGTCAAAGTACTGACTGCTTCACTTTGTGCTCATCGTTTCACCCATGAAGCGATAACCTCTTGCTTTGCATCGTTTCATCGCTTAAAGCGTTGAAGTGATGGCTTTTAATAACACTGGCGAATATTGTTACAAATTTGTACGATTGAACTTGACAAACCTGTGCTGCCTCAATTTCTAAATCTTGCTTTTGAATGTCAAATGATAAAGGGTGCATCATGCAAATGAAGAATAAGTCTGACTTGCCAAACAACGCCTTGTGTGTTTGCCTGTTGATAAGAAATGTTATTGCTACAGAAATCCAGACATTGGGCAAAATTTTCTAGGTTTTGAATATGAGAAGAAATTTTTACAGAAACAGTACTCCAGTCGCTCAAAATGCTACTTCCCCGTTTAAATAACTTTTCCTCCTTTGTCAACTGTTGAATTTAATCAGCAAGAAATTCCAAAAGACATATAGCAGGAAACTAATCTTTTATCTAATATAAGCAAAATGTCTACTTCATTTCAAATCGAATGTCCTCCTTCATACTGTGATATTCAAATTAACATGGCACGAGTTCCCTACCTGAATGCAAGCACTTCAAGAAATTCAGTATCAATCTGCAATAAATGAAACACAGCAAATCTTAGAGAAGCAATACCAGTCAAATTTTCAGTAGAAAATGACACATTATGTAGCTTCCAATATTCAATAAACTTACTCCTGTTTCTTCCTTTACTTCCCTTATTGCACCTTCAAATATATCCTCACCCTGCAGAATAAAAGCTCAACATACAGTTTAGAGGGCGTACGACTAACTTTTGCTGCTGAATTTAGCTCCAGCTAATGTTCATACCTCCTCAACAATGCCAGTAGGGATCTTCCATACTGCAGTTCCCTTTAATTTGCCGCTATTTTCTTGGACAACAAGCAACTAAAATCAAAAGATTTCCCGAACTTAGACTGGAAAATTGTGAATCCTACCAAGATGCTCAAGCATAGTGGTTGATCCAAAAGAAATATTTCTTAATGATCAAAATATGTTTCCTTCATTGCAAACTTAATGTGCAATTACACTATTTACACACAGAGGTCTTTGATACATCAGTAAATCTACCAGTACGTAGCAAGTGCAAGGGAAAGACTTTATATGTTCAACACACTAAAAAGTGAAATTGCATCAGAATGGTTGTTAGCAGAGACTCCGTTTTTTTAGTAGAATAAATTGAAGTGTACAAAAACTTTTTTTCATAGGCGGGAAATGAAAATAAGCTCCGGCTCCATGTGGAGTCTCCGCTAACAACTGGCCTTCTGTACAAAGCTTTTTTTCATAGGCAGGAAATGAAAATAAGCTCCGGCTCCATCATGACAGACAGACACTAATTGGTTGAAAGCAACCATTAATCATCCTGAAAAGCCATTTTAAACACTGAGCAGATGCTATACCATAACCAGACACGGGTGGAACTAGAAGCCGGAATATGGTTTCGGTCGAACCAAGTAGTATTTGCTCAAATAATGTATTTGTGTTAAGAAATTCATTAAATACGTATAAATATTAAATTAGAACCCAGATATTAGTACTTGAAGTTGTCGTTCTAAAATCCAGAACCCATAAAGTTGGAATCATGGCTCCGCCTCTCCAGACAACCGCATTATTATACCCTTTACATGGATACAAAACCAGAAGAGGAGCAAATAGGTACATACAATGGAAGTAGCTATGAGTTACCTCTCTTTTCTCATTTAAGACTATAGCACCAATACCCACGCGGTGTGAGGCATTTGCTGGGATGGTATTCTCAGTTTCAGGAATCCAATACACAAGCATCAGGTAATGTGGTTCGGCATGGTGGTACCAAAACCCTTCCTGTGGTCAATGTCATACATTTGGATCAATTTCATCGCAAAGCTAGTGATATATTTTTCTCAACCTAAAGTATGATATGAGGTAGTTAAAAATCTGAGTTTGTACAATGATGTTGTTAAGTAGTTTCCTATAGTAGATTCTAACAAAAAACTCACGTTCAGAGTCAGGAGTGATTCTCTAATTTCAACCTCCAACATCTTAAAGAACAACATGATATATCACAATGCTGCCATAAGTCAATGGTTTTGGTTTTATTGGCAAATTTGTTTGTCTGAATATGTTTTTTTGACATGGTACAGATTTTAAGACTCTAATTAGAGTAGCAGGCTAGGTAGGACACGTTTAAGTATACAAAATGGATCCCAAAGAACCTCCTTATGTCAACGTAACAATATCCTATTCAAGTTCTAAAAAAGCATAGAGAAATCACCTTAACTGCAGTTTCAACCAAATTTACAAGTTCAATTGGCACTTTAATCCAAACACCCTTCTTTTCCTGCAAAATATATAATGTCAAACTAGAAGAAAAGAACTGAGAGACGAAATAGTAGTCCGCTACCATAAACACTGTATCTACACAGCTATTCTTGCTACACAGCTCACTTTATGCGACACTGAAAGTGGTTATAATATCATCCAAGTCGAAGACTGTCGAACAGCCATAAAAGAAGCCAGGAACCTAATTCCTATGAAAACTGCTAGAGTCTTGTTAGCCAAACAGGAAAACTATTGAGTCAATATATCAAGTCTTATTAAGTTTTCACCGCCATTGCTGTCAACAGAAGCTTCTCATTTTATACAACATCAACCACAAACACAATGGTGAATGATCTTCGAACAATATGAATGCCAGTAAGAAGGGGAAACATGTGGCTTAATGCCTTAACACATACAGCAACGAATAATGGACAAATAAAAAATTTGGTTTTTCTATTTCTCAAGCATAATTCAGTGGGAAGCTAAAAAGGGTGGACAGTCATCGTCAAAATAATGCTCATCTTTACTCAAAACTAAGAAAACAAGCAGCATACCTGCAACTTCCACTTGGATAATGAAGCTTTAAGCATGTTTTGGAAGACAGTGGTGTCCATAGGCTCCTTCAATTCCACTATAACTCCACCATGGTCATCATTTACCGCAGAAAGCAACTGATCCTTCTTGACACCATTTTGAAACATGAGTTTCTCCATAGGATCTCAACTTAGTCCAAATTTGTGCAGTAGAATTTTCTACTCAAAGCTGCTGGATTACATGAAGCTATCAGAAAAAGTTTAAAACCCCAGTTGGACTTTAATTAAAACACACACACACACACACACCCACACACACGCACACACCCAAACACACTCACAGAGAGTTGAGAACAAAAGTATCTGAAAGTGACAATTATTGAAAGAAATAACAATGTTTCCAGAGTAAACATTTCCAGCTTACGTGATCGATTTTATCTTCAGCTCATCAAGCAAGAAATATGTACCTGACGCCAAGTTGCACGTCTAATCTAAACTTTTTTAAAAAAAATACCTAAAAATGCCTGTTAACTGGCCCATCCTATCCACACATAAAATGTCTGATCTTATTAAAATGATGATACTTTTCAGGCAGAATAAAAGAATTCAGAAAGAGAAAAAGTAGAAGTTCACTAGAAAACCCCAACTGTTTGATAAAAATTGTTCCAAATTGCACCCAATTGGTGTAGCCGTCAAGGAAGTTAGAAGAGAACTATGAGGTCTCATGTCCAAATTTCAGCGGATGCAAAAAATTATTAATATATGTGATTTCTTTCTATCTGCCCAAGTCTTGTGGGCAGAGTTACCAGTGCTTGTGTTGGTAGCAGACACCCAGCGAAATAGCCAAAGGGCGCGCAAACTGACTCCGACACCACTTATTTAATAAAAATTGTTCCAAATCATTTAGGCATGAAAATGATTGTATCCATCACAGAAATTAGGGGCGGCTCTAAGGCTTTGGGTAGTAAGGCCGTTGCCTTAGGCCCCCAAAATTTGAAGGCCCCAAATTTATTTTAAATTCTTATTATTATTACTATATACTATATAATTTATATAAATAATTAGTATAAAGAAAAGTGTTACAGTATATTTTTTGTTACTTGATTGAGATTATTTTATACAATAAATTTATAAATTATAATAATTTTCTTTCCTCATTAATTAGTATATTTGCTTTACTCTTCAATTTTAATTTTATCTTTTTTATATAGGAATTAAGTTATATATATCGACAACATAATAAATATTTTTTACAATGTTCTCTAAAACTGCATGAACACAAAAGCATTCATGCACCGATTTTCTTTTAGTGTAATTCGACATAGTATATTAGGTTATTTACAATTTATTTTAGATATTCACCAATAAGTGCTACTTAATAGAATGATCTACAATCACCGTTTAAATTGATCAGAAAGAGTAAATATTTTTGACACCGTCAATGCTCAAAATTTAAGCTATTACGTTATGTATGTTTATTTTTTTTCTTGTTTGTGATGATAGCCAAATCAAAATTTTCACTTTGAGTTCTGGATCTTCACGTCCGATAGTCCACCACTTTATTTTCTGTGCTCTTCTTCCTTCTTTTTTTTTTTTTGAAATTGGCTTTTTGTTTCTTAAATGATTAATTTGTTATTTGAAAAGCAAATTTTATTGTTAGTGTAAATATTTTATAAAATAAATTTAAGGGCCTCTCAATTTGATTTTGCCTTGGGCCACGAGATCCGTTGAGCCGCCCCCCCTGACAGAAATACACTTGTATAACAAACTAAACTAGTTTTCCATGGTAAAAGCGAGAAAAACAAATTCTGCTTATATGAAAAGCATACATACTCCAGTCCATAAGAAAATGAAGCAAAGATAATCAAATTATAATTTACAGAGTAAATTGATACAGATAATTTACATACATAGTTCACTCCAACCAATTTGAGATTATGACAGTTGATTTGACGAACCAAAAACAACAAAATAACAACTGCACCTCAATTCCATCAAGTTGGGATCGACTACATGGATTCTCACTTACTATGTTTCTCCCTAAAACTCATCTCGCAATTTATATATTTTTGGTTTTCCACCCGGTGTCCAGTACTCCCTTTAGGGTCCCGACTAATACAGATTCACGCCGTGTAAATTGCTCCCTACTAAGATTTTTTTTTTCCATTCCTAAGGCTCGAGTTCAAAATCTCAAAATCTCTTACTAAGATTGGAGAACTCTTGATGGTAGATCAACATTTATATAAAGTTTACACATAAAACAGTACAAGAAGTTGTTAATAATGTTGGTACTCACTGTAAGTTTCTTCAAAATGGAGCTTCAGCTCGGGCAGGAGGAAAAAGTGAATATTAGGATCTAAAAAAGGGCGGAGATTCTCCCGAACTCTGCAACTGGAATTGCTGCTGCGGCGATGAATTGAATTCCGAATGTAATAAATAGGCGTTGGGGCTGTGGGGTGGAGGGGCAACTGTAGCCGCTAAAAAAACTACACTGCGCCGTAGGTGTAATGATGGGAATCCCACTGAAACGTTCCCAACGAATAAGACAACTAGTTAGTTGGTTTGCCTCATTTGAGCTCCCATTTCCCCCATTACAAAAGCCGCCACGCTTGGCTTTACACTTTACAGCTTGTTTGTATTGTTGTCACGTAACCTTTCATAATCTATTGTATCGTATCTACAGTATCATATACAATATTTGAATACATTGTATTGTTTGACGTCAACAATATGATTACTATATAAAAAAAAAAGATAAAATATGATTATTTAATAATAAAGAAGGGTAAAATAAGAGGAAAAAAGAAAAGAAACGACGTCACCACACCAAATCCGTCGTTTCATAAAATGACACTTTTCGTCGTTACATAACGATGGGTTTAACGATACGATATAATAAAATTAAAGTAACAATCAGAACAAATATTGTATTTAAAGTAACATTACGATAGGTAACAACCGTCTAAATAAGTTGTTAGTGGTGGGAAATTACTTTAATTTCACCAAAGCAACAATAATATAGTAGAAATGTATAGTTTAGCCGTTCCTAAAAATAATAGCCGATATTTTTATAATATATACATATTTTGTATACATTTTAGCTAGCGAATGCAAATGGTTTTGGACGACCGGCCAACTATATATTTTGCCCAATAATTTAGTCAGTCCGATTACAGTGGGACGAATGAATTTTTTTTTCAACTTTAATAACAGTTTCAAGTTCATGCTTTGAGAATAAGTAGCCCCGGAGGATAGGGCTCATTTCTCTCTTTAATAGGCCTTACCTAGCAAGTATTTGAATTTTCGAACTAGTGAGTTCTAAATACTTATAATCATACCAAAAAATATTCACTTCAGAATTTATAATTGATTACATATACATAACTTTTAAACCAACTATATCATTCAACAAAAGAATAATTTAGTCGGTCTCATTGCGGGTGTGATAAGATGAATGTAAATTTTTCACCTTTGGCAAGAGGTTGCGAGTTCGAGTTATGAGAATGAAGTAATTCTGAATGAAGATAATTTCTTCCTTTAATGAGCTTGAATTGTGGAACAAGTGAGTTCTAAATACATATAATTATACCGAAAAATATTCACTTTAGAATTTATAATCAAATTACATATACGTAAGTTTTAAACCAACTATGCTGGTCAAAATTTTGAAATTATTAAGCAATAAAAAAAAAAGGGAAACCCAGTCATAGTAGTATTGTCACGACCCAAAATTCCATCATTGGAGTCATGATGGCACCTAGTCTCTAAGACTAGGTAAGCCGATTTTCATTGCATTTTTGAAGCCATTTTTTTTAAACTAACAGCGGAAATAATTACAATATACAACTTTTCAAGACTGGTAGTACTGAGTCACGAACTCTAACGAATACATGGAATGATCACGAGGACCGAATATACAATATTGTTTGATTAAAAATTAACAGTACAATGAAATGAAAAGACTCCAAGGGACTGCGACGACTAAGCAGCTCTACCTTGAATCCTTACAATCCCGCTTTAACTCTGCTCAAGTCTGTTATCTTCAATACCTGGCTCTGCACAAAAACGTGCAGAAGTGTAGAGTGAGCACACCACAGCGGTGCCCAATAAATATCAAGACTAACCTCAATGGAGTAGAGACGAGGTACAATCAAGACTCTCACTAGTCTAATAACATGTGCAATATAATATACAAAATAATAGGAAATAAATAATAATAAT